AACTCTAACTCTAACTCTAGAAAATCGGCGAGTAGACGATAACTCTAGGTTTGACGCCTGCGCAAAGCGGTCTATTTCAGAGAAAAATGGCGACATTCGACGAAGACGAAGCCGAGATGCTAGAAAATCTGAAATATTTAGATTATATAGATCGTATGGAACGAAGAAGTCGGCGGATTATTTCTCCAAGAAGAAATGACCTCGAACAATTGGACGATTACGACTTTCTATGTCGATATCGTTTGCCAAAAGAGAGCGTAAGAAACCTATTAGAACGAATTGGTTTCCTCTTCCTGTTTTAAATAATTCGGCTTTTTTTGTGCCTATTCTTTCACGGCTTTCTTTTTAAAATTCTTATAACAATCCAATAACTGGTTTTTTTAAGGGTGACACCCGGGATACCATTGAATTCCTTTGTTAGTTCTTCCCATGTGCCTCTCTTCTGTTTGGAAGAAATCGCATTTGTTTTCTTGTTTTCAATGATCGATTTATATTTTTCGACTAATTCAAGTAGAATTTCCTTCTCAAAATTAGAAAAATTACGGCGTGCACTGCTTTCCATTTCACTTTCCGCCATTTTCTACACGTGTTTCTATTCTATTCTATTCGTCTCCTCCCTGGTTCATACACGTGTTTGCTTTCAACCAATCAAAACTCTGCTTACGAAAGAAGACTTGTTTAATCTCGAACGCAGGATTGTTTTAAAATATTAACTCTAGAGTAGCGAAACTCTAGAGTTAAATTTTTATCTGAATACGAAAGAAGAGTAACTCGTAATCTGACTTCGAGTTACATCTAAACTCGAGTTCGTCAACTCTCTGTTTAACTCGTCTTGGTGAATACGGGGGTAAGACTATCTGCTTTTACATGTGCAGATACAGATAATCAACTTACGGTGGAGTTATATTCTAATGAACACATTCATTGGAATATAAGTCGAACATGATATTCAATGACACTAGTTATCATAAAGTAATATTTTAGTTGTTTATTTAACTGAATACCAGTAATTCAAAAATAGGATAAACTTGTATTCATTTATTAACTAGCTGTTATCCGCGACTTCGCATGTGCGGATGTTGCAAGCAAACCCCATTTATATTCAGTATTTCAACAACCATATTGTTATATAACACCTACCGCTGAGAATGATGAGAATTGCTGAGAATCAAACGAATTATTTTCAATTTGATTAATTTTTTGGAGCGTTTACAATCGTTCTATAATCGAACCAATACGCAATAACAAATTCGAATTTAAAACGGTTCGAACATTTGGTTAAAAATCGAAATGCTGTATATAAAAATATTTATAACAATGTCTGAAATGTTATCAATTTAATAAACCTAAGTACTCAATGAAGACTAAACGTAGTTAGAAACAAAAAATCGCATCTAAAATAGTACAGTAGAAGCCATTCTTCAGGGTAAGCCTTAATCCTCTCCCTCTCCCCCCGCGGGGGGAATTTCGAAAAATCCCTTCTTAGTGTGCGTTTTTATGACGTACCCTGTGTACAAAATTTCACCTCTAGGTTCAGCGGTTTGCTCTGGCGATGATGAATCAGTCAGTCAGTCAGGGCAAGTAATTTTATATATTCAGATAAGTGTACAGTACAAAAAGATTTACGGTGCGTTGACTTCATTGTCTAAGGATGTTACGGATACAGTACAATATGCCTCAGTGAAATTTGATCAGTGTATATGAAATAGGAATGAAATTATTAACGACATTCTCCTGGTCAGTTTCCAACTTCATCTATCACTTGTTAGTCAGCTTAAAAAAATTGTTACAGCTTTGCTGTTTTCGTTGAATGAATTCGCAGAACCATGAAAATGATGGCTGTTTAGTTAAAATGAAAACAGTCAAACTAATCTTTGTAACGTAGTTCAAAAATGTAACGTAAATCATGTCATACAAACTTATCAAATTCACTGTAGTATATTGTAAATGTAAGTAGTGTACAGTGATACCTCCATTTTCGTCGATAATCCGTCTGAAAACAATGGCGAAATCCGAAACCGACGAAAACCGAGGCAATTATCTCCATACGAATCAATGTAAATCCAATTAACACCACTCTATAAAATGTTTTTTGTATGTATTTTGGAGTGTCGTTCTAGACATTCCAAAATACATACAAAAAACATTTTATAGAGAATAAATAGTGTTTAATACTAAAAACAATACGAAATTAATATATATGGATATAAAAGCGACAGATTTCAGCAATCTTAATTTCGGTCTCGTAGTTTTCAATGATTTCCTTCTTCAACTTTGATCGTGTTCCTGACCTTCGAGGGCTACTTGCTTTGGAAACTTTCTTTGGTCCTATGGTGGAGCAAAAAGGAAAGGAAAGCAATGAAATTCTTTGGCTAGAGGCGCGGGGTAGTAATGCTCCCACAACGAGAAACAACACCACAATGATCAAGAAAATGCGTGGGTCACCCTTTGTTTTCGCAAAATTTGTAACGAGGGCACACCGACGAAATCCGCGACAAATTTTTTGTAAAAAACTCGGCAATAACCGAAGTCAACGAAAACCGAGGTATTACAGTACTACTAAATTTTATAGGCATTTACCATTAGCCTAGTCAGCTGAAACTTGTAGAGCCGAAGAATGTTGTGAAGCTTACAAACAACATTGCTTGATGATGATGAAAAGTAGAGCGCCGCTTTTCCATATCTGGCACTGAGATTATTTTACAGACTATTATAAAAATATAAGAATTTATAAGTCACTTTTTAAAATTTATTACAAAATCTCTACTATACTGTCATGAAAATACGATACAGATGATTCAAATTTTTCTGAAAGAAGTTGTGTCTACATGGCAAGAAGTAAAAATAACAAAAATAAAAAAAATGTTTTAAAGATTATTTCAAGCTTCAACAAATTTTGCTAATGATTATTAATACAGAAAATTTGATACATATTGTATTAATAAGCATTAGCAAAATTTAAAGATTATTAATTTCTGATTTCGTAGTCGGTAGTGTGTGTAAGCCAGCCCCTTGGTTATTTTATTTAGGTCGAATTATGACTTGAAATCATTTATGGTCTTCAGCTTTGGTTATACAATCTCTAAATAGTTTTCCCCTCCTTCTATCCATCCAGTATTCATTAAGAGAATTTATTTCAGCTGTGTGACGAGAGACAAGAACAATCTATCTAGGACAGACTTCCCCATTAAAAATGTGTTCCTGATTTGAATTCAAACTTGGGTCATCTGGAGTGACTGGCTAACCATAGTTCACTGGCTGTCCAGCCATCCAACCAAGCTTTAATAAAGTTTGCCTGATGGCAGTTAAGGTCCAGGAGCCAGTCTCCTAGGACTCAGGATCAAATCCGGATGACCAACCTCAGAAATTTTTCACGGGGGTGATCTGTTTCAGATATGTCTGACCTTTCCGCACCAATCGATCGGCCCATGTATTAAAGTGAATTAAAGCCTTGGTGACCAAAAGTCAAAAAATGAAAAAATATAATTTACCTGTTTTTTACGGATATGTTCTTCAAGTAGCACTGCCTCCCGTCGTCGTCGCTCAATCTCTGAGTATTGTAGGGTCATCTCCTCATCCTTTTCCCGGACATCTTTCAGATGCCTCTTCTCGTCTTCTCGTCTCGTTCTCTTATCTGTTGCCCGATAGACGGCCTGCGCACGCCTTTCCTCTCCTTCCCTACAGAGAAAAGGTTCGAAAATCCATGGTGGCAGAACTACTTTAAATACCTTTTTTAGTGAAAGAAAGTGCACTTACTGACGAATTTGTAACATTTTTTGTTGTATAAGATGCTGACGACGGGCCAGACTCCGAAGGATAATATCGGCTCTCTCCTGGATTTCCTGAAACGATTTTGCTTTACATTTCTCATTCTTGAGTTTTAGCCTTATGGACACCAGACGGCTCTTTTTCCGGGGTTATCATAGGTTCTGCAAGACTCCACGAGAAGCGAGGTGGTAAAGGATGGTGCTTGACATATGCAGAAAAGATCACCCTTGAAAAATTCCTGTGGTCGCCACTAAAACTATCTTAAGTTTCCCATAATCGCAGGCTGATGCTTTTACTGCACGGAGAAGTTGTCCTAACAAATTTTTAGATCCGAGGTGCAATTTAATTTTAGACGGGCTTCAATAAAATGCGGTTGCATCGAATTGAGCTTTTGTAAGACCGTTTTTTGGATAATGTTTGTTACAATTAGTCAATGTGCACGAGAGGCAACTTGAGGATTTCATCCGAATGATAGACAGAAGTAATGGGTTAAACCAATTGTCCTAATTTTAATGCATGTGTGTATAGGCCACCGTACTACGACGTTCTAAAAATTGAAAAGCTCTTTTTAATTAATGAAATGTTCCATTGGCGTGCTGTTTTATCCATTGGTACAGCGAAAGAAAGAAAGTTGATTTAGGGAAGTGTTCAATGGAATTAGCCAATGGCCAATTGCTATGGAGAAGAGAAGTCAAGATGTGTCTATACAAGAAAGTTGCGCGTTTTATAACAGTGATCGTTTCATTTTAAAAACTAAAATGACTCCTATATCTCGTTACTACTGGCCGTGTAACCATTGATTATAAAGCTGCTTTCAAAATGTTGAAAATTTCATTTCTACAGACACTTCTTTTGGCCACCCGGATGGCCTAAGCCAGGGATGGGCAACCTTTATCTATGTAAGGGCCGCATTTCAAAACTTTTGCACTTACGCCAGCCGCATACAAGAGAAAAGAGGGGGGAAGTCGGTAAATCACAATTATTTATTCATATATATCATAGGTATACTTAATTTAACTTCTGGAACTGATGTAAACATAATATATCGGAAATATTTGGTTAAATATTAGTCACTGCTAGTTTTAAATTAGTTTCAATGTGTCTGTTAGTCGGTTTCTTGTTTTAATTTTTACTAAATTTACTGCGGAAAAACTATTCACCTACATAATTGTAGAAAATAACGTTTGAGTTTTTGCTAATACTTCTTTAAGCTGGGAAATTGATATATTTATTCATATTTTATGCGACGCGGGCAGCAAAAAATATTACTGCGGGTCGCGGGTTGCCCATTCCTGGCCTAAGCGATAAACGCGTCAACCTGCCTCTGGGAGACCAGGAATCGAATCCGAGCGAATAAACTCGGGAATTTGTCCGGAGGTAGTCTGTCTTGGTTACCTTGGGTTAGTTAGTCTCTCACCACCCTGCCACTCTATTGAGAGCCTGGGTTAACCTACTGTAAGATAGACTTGGAGGAAAGACCCTAAAAAATTGGTCAGTTAATAGAATTTCTAGTTTTTAAAGATATTTTCGAAAATAATATAGTGTTATTTAATACATTAAAAACTAAGTTTGCGAATTTTTGAATATTAATAAGATTAAAGGGTATTTAAAAATCCTCTAATACAGGGGTGGCCAACCTTTTGCATACCATGCGCCAAATTTTTGACAGACGAGTTCAAATGCGCCATATAGGCCTAACTCGAACACTTTTTATACAGTCTTACGTTCAATGTTAGGGGTTGATAAATAGAGATAAGAATAAATCTGTTTCGCTTAGGAAAGAAAAGGGAATAACTTAATCACGCAGTTGAATTAATTACTTTATGAGTTTATTGAAGCACCAATTTACAATAGTCAACAATGATCTCCTGTACGAGAGGGTGATTGCTTCATGATGGTGCTATTGCTGCCAGAGTCTCGTTTGGTGAAGATTACTCTGAACCACAATTATTGGCACTGAGAACGAGATCAGCTTGGAATAACTTTAATCACAATAAATGTTTTCGGCCATTTACACGCCTGTAAACTGATCGGAAATAAAGATCGCAAGACTCAAAACACATGCATACATTGTAATTTACTATGTGGAGAACACTCATTTTATCTGCAAAATAGACCGTAACGAATTGTGAAACAAATGAACTTGCCAAGACAGACTATAAAAAATTTATTTTTCTATATAATATTCTTAATCGCAAAAAAGCCAAATCTGGCAATTTTGCTCAGAACTAACTGAAGAGCCACTTGTAATCGTCCAATGCGCCACGTTTGGCGCATGCGCCACGTTTTGGCCACCCCTGCTCTAATACGATGGATAACGGATTGAGATTCATTCAATATTGAGATGATTTGAACCTAGATTTGAGAGTGATGACGAAATACATTGGATTTTCTAGAAAAAGAAAGATCGTGCCTATTTCTTTTAATACGTTTTATCACAGAAGAGCAAAATAAACACCGTATATCTCTCTATTTTAACAACTTCGTTTGTTGCAAGTTAAGTGGATGCAAAAACAAAGACTAAATTCGGGTACCTAAAGTGCAATATATTTTTGTGCTTACAGCTAAAAGAAATTTTTATTCTTTTACAATTAATAACTTACGGCTAAAATGTAAGCAATAAAATGTTTGGCCTAAATAAATATTATTCATTGTGAAAAGTGTGAACAAAAATTAAAAGAAGTATAATGCAATTGTGTTTTGTGTTTTTTACTAGATATGATATCCCTGTTGCTAAAAATAAAGGAAGATTATATATTTTAAGACCCTAATATCCATTAAAATATTACGGTCCCTCGAAATAAGAATTAAGATTAGAGCTAACCACATACAGATGTATAGTTACTAGGGTCCTAAGAAGCCCAGACAATGTTCATTAATTAAATTATTGTATTTTTTAAATCGCGGGATCGAGAAGGGTTTTATAAACTTGGCTATTGGTGGGAGCAATCAAAAGGAAAAATGCTCTCACCTTTTCTTTTCGACGGCGGTCATCATCTCGAAAATCCACGGAAGGACCAGAGGTAGTCCGCTCTTCTTGGCACCTCCCCTCACCTTTTCTTTCGAGAATAGGGAATGGGACGTTTTCGGACGTCCACCGAGTGTATCGGAGATTGTCCAGACGATCCACGAGCCTTTGTCTCTCCTTCTCCTCTATGCTGTTGATCAAAAATGAGAAAACTTCGTTATTTTTTTCTGCTTTCAGCATGATCACGGCAGCCATCTTCTTCCGAATTGCGAATACCGAGAGAAAAATTTCTTCTCGATTATGGTGACGACGCATGTCTATATAAGTAGAAAGTCAGGCAGAAACAGAAAAGTGACATCTTCCTATCTAGAAATTTATGCTGTTCAGAATCCATACGGAAACCTAGATAAGAAAATAATTCAATTTTTTTCATTTCTGTGGAGATTTTCAGTTGTGTTTGGACTAGGGTTGGCCAAAGTTCAAAACCAAAAATCGGAACATTGGGTAACATTATGATAAAAGTTGATGGATACTCAGCATTAAGTAGGTAGAGGTTACTCTGGAAAATAAGTGAATAACTCAAATTAATTTGAATTATCAATTTTTACTTGTTATGATGTTACATATTTTAACTAAGTTTTTCTGGAGAAACTCGGCTGCCTCATTGTGAAACTGGCTGAATCCACGATTGATATGATTAAATAAATGTAAAGGACCTCTCAGTGCCTAGGGACAAAAAGAACAAAAAACTGGAGTTTGGGCAGATGTAATCATTAATTGATCTATTGTCAATGATTGCACGAAACCATCGATAGTTAAACACCAACCAAATGCCGAAATTCTATGGGGCTAGTTTAAGGCTACCTTAGCCCGATAGAATTTCGGCATTTGGTTGGTGTTTAGCTATATTATGTATTGGGTTTAGCGATGTTTGTATACCATCGATAGTTTTGAAATCATCGCATAGCAATCCCTTTACTTCATTGTGTTGCAGTTCTGCGACATTAATTTTTTGTTGAATATATCTATAGATAATTATTTTTTGTAATTTTATTCTGTTTAATGGAATTATCAACATTTATACATATGTGTAGTAAAACTTTTTTCTGTCAGTGGGCATTGTATTTATACATTTTTTGATTTTGATAAAGGGTGTCACGTACTTCTTGTATTGTGCTTTATTTCAGTTTGTTTCTAATTTTTATCATATATTAAAATTTAATATTCTTCATTTTAAAATAAGTTATATTGTGGAAAGGTAAGCATAAGCTATGTATTTATGTAATAATTGTCTTGTAATGATAACAAGGCTATCTAAATTTTTGTCATTTGTATGTGTTGCACATCTGCAACATCATACGTTAGGGCTATGTAAAATTTGCCTATCTTAAATTTTTCTTCAGTAATTCTGAATTTAAAAAATGAAAGAAAACTCTCAATATTGACACTACTTTAAATAATACAGTATATTAAATACTTTATCTGAAACGGAATAGATTTCTTAGATGAAGATATATTTATACACTTAGTAATCGCTTGGGAATGATTCAGATTTTATAACAGATGATGAAATAATTGAGTCAAATACGGCAGCGAATATTTTCAGCACAAACAATGGTAACTTGAATAGAGGTGGAAATATACACAATCATTGCAGTGATAGAGTGAACTGTGGTAACAGTACTGTAGTAAATGTGCAAAATTTTCCCATTGATATGTCAAGATGATGTAGAATTATAAGAATATATTCTCAGTATAGGTCTTACAGTATATTTTTTTCGAAATTGTATTTACAGTTTGGGAACCGCAAGAAGAAACAGACTACAAAACTGTAATTTACTAGCAGAGAGCCATATCAAAAATTTAGAACATAGTACCAGTTTTTAATATTTGGTATTTTTGATGGAATAGAAATTTCAAATTTAGCATGAAAGGATAACCAAAAATTATAATTTTATTATCATCTTTTTCTGGGAAATTACTAGCATCAACTATTGAACATTTTCATAAAATTTAAAGTGAAAAGTACCTATTGAGTGTCCTTTTGCTAGAAAAAAATACAATCGACATATGCAGGTGTTGATTTGATGAATAGCAACATAATAACATAACAGCATAAGCTATTATATATAAAATAACACTTTGTAATAAAAAATGGTATACAGTGTGCAAATCTTTTTATAATTTGCCAGACATTACAACGAAAAACGACCGGAAACTGTATAACAAGTGTAAACAACGCTGAATAGCAACGAATTGAACCTTAAAAGAAATTTCAGGATAATTAATTGCACAGTCGTTAATCAATTGCAATCTCTAACGTTTTCGATCTACAGTACTTAAGAGATCTTCCTCGGGATTCTTTAAATAGGAATGCGTAAATTGGAACGTTCTTAAAAATTATTTTAATTAAAACATATAAACGAGAATTTTTAAACTAATTCTGGTTTATATCCTAGAATTTCTTTTAAGGTTCAATTCGTTGCAATTTTCTAAACAACAATGGGTAACAAAGATGTTTTGCAACTATCTCAATTTCAAATTAACTTAGTATATTTCTTATGTAATGTAGTTAGCAAAAAAATGAAACGAGGAAGATTGAATTTTGATGTAAAAATATCTCGCAGCAGAAAACATAAATACACCTAAAAATATTCCCACTAAAGATGATCGGAATTATCAGACATTTCATTAGCTCATCTGGATGAAAAAATAAAGCAGATGCAAATTGCCATTATGCAGTGATTACACAAAAAGCAACGTGGGAAAAGTGTCAAATGACATTACGCTATGACAAACATAACAACTGTTTCAAGCTATTCACACACAGTAACATGCTAAGTTTTATGCTCTTCACTATATAATGTTGCATTTCTGAAACTTGTAATCTTTTTAAAAAATAATAAAGTCACATAAACTGAAATTAATATTTTGTGAATTTTATGATAAGTTTAACTGTATTGAAAAAGAAAACATTTTATAAATTTATTTTTTAAAATTCATGCAGTAAAGGGTTAATCTTTTCAAATGGGCGAAGAAAAGAATGACCAGGCTGTAAACAGTAGAATCGACATCATTTCTATAAACTCCTTTTGTCGGGCGAATTTAAACAACAATTCCTTTGCACATAAATACTCTTCTTTTGGGTTTGAGCAGAAATTTCGGAAAATATTTTTAAGTTTTCCGTTTCCACCTACCTTTTTGCTCATGCGTTCCGATTCTAATTCTCGGCTAGAAAGAAACACTCACCTCCGGATTAACGACCATCGATAAATCGACTTTCGGAGTCGATCTGCCCATTTTTTCTCCTCCTCCTGTTCACGAAACCTAGATGCCTCCTCCAAAAGCATTTGGGTTCGTTGGTTCTCGGCTTCGTCTACCAATCTGTCTAGTTTCTTTCGGATCTCCATTTGTCGTTGTCTATCGCAGAACGCTTCTCCGGCCAGGAAGGCGCTCTAATTATAAAAAGGAGCGTGTATAAATGCAGGGGACTCCTTCTTATCTTACTTTATTCTAGGCATCTGGTTTGTTTATAGTTTAGTTATGGCAACGCAACACTTGGGTGATGCCTTCCGGGACGTCTTTTTAAGGGAAACTGGCCCCTATTTAGGCGTTACAGACGTGGAGAAAACCCGGAAAACTCCACGTGGCCAACCCGTCCGAACCCATGACCGAAACTACCCAGTGTTCAGGGTACGAAGACCGCCCGGCCACTGGTAGGCCTCTAGGCATCTGGCATATGCGGGTTAATTTATTCGTTTTTCGAATTACCTGGTTGGTTTCTGTTTGTTGTAGAAATAGGAATATTGGAATAGGAGAGTGAATCTATCCTGTCACCCTCGGGGTGGAAAAGTTCGAATCGAATGGAAAGGCTCGCATCGAAATTCCCATCGGGGTTAACCATCACCGCCATAGTGTGATCCATAGTATGATCCGTCCTTAACACCAGGAACAGATGGACACTAGACACTACGACCATTACTCTCGTCGTGGCCGATTCCACCTCTCACGGTGGCTATAATCTCAATAGAAAGGCTCACATCGAAATTCCCATCGGGGTTAACCCCGATGGGAATTTCGATGCGAGCCTTTCTATATACGATGCGAGTCTTTCTATATTAGATGCGAGCCTTTCTATTGAGATTATAGCCACCGTGAGAGGTGGAATCGGTCACGACGAGAGTAATGGTCGTAGTGCCTAGTGTCCATCTGTTCCTGGTGTTAAAGACGGATCATACTATGGATCACACTATGGCGGTGATGGTTTTATCCAAGTTGTACAGATACCTATCAGAGTCACAAGTAAACCGAATTTTTGATCTTGTCTATCCACAGTCTGTAATTATGAGCATGCGCACGTTCGGACATTTTCTTAGACATGCTAATACTTATTTGATACTCAGTAAATCCCTTTATCGGATGGGTTATAGAATTTCCCTTAATACGAATTTTTATGTTGTTTGGATACGCAATGACACCGCTTTATCCTATTATATTTTATACAACTAAATTGAATAAAACGGAAATGATTAAAAAGTTTGAAAATTCAAACATTGCATCAAATGACGCCGTATGATGATTTTGATTTTTAAAATATCAAATTTCAAATTAGGCTATAATCTCAAAATATATATTATATTTTACTGTTCTATTTCTATACTTTCTTACTCGTTTGTGGACATATCAGTTCCATGGTCGGCTTCCGTGATGAACATCGGCTCTAATAATTTTTCGAGATACCAAGGGTTTTGTTTGATGCATGAGTGAAATCACCGATTTAATGCAAATATGGCCCAAGTCACACATCAATAAATTGCAATCGCTAAAGTACAATTTCACAGGTTGCAGTTTATTGCTGGTTTCTTAGTTTTAATAGATGGACGGGATTAAGAATGAGACGTAGAGAAAGAACAGATCTGTGTTCTATCGGAGATCGGATTATTTGGTTAATTTATCAATGAAGTACCATATTTTTTAATCGGGAATAAGAAAAATCGAAACCGAGTATTTCGTGAGCTTTCGATAATATTCACCTTAAAACAATGTTTAGAATATTTAAAACAAGCGTAATTACGTTTAGCGATTTGACTGGATCTTTCTGGAAAAACAGCAATTTCTTGGCTTGGGACAGACGTCTTTGGCGCTCTTCCTCTCGGCACTCCGTTTCTTCCGCTTCTAACTTTATTAAATCTGTTTCTTTCCGGATAGCCTTTTCTCTTAATTTCAACAATCTGGCTCTTCTGTGGCCCTGAAACAACGACATTAATCCTATGTTAGAAGAATAGAGCAAAAAGAGCCGGATAGCCCGTCCATCGACCGCTTTTACGTAGAAAAAAAAGGATCTGTTGCCATCTGTCGTTAAAAAGCCTTTTTCATATAATTATTTATCGCTCCTTTTTTGTTTTTAAAAGAAAGCTTGCATTCCCCATCTATCATGTAGCGTCCGAAAGGGCCCGAAAACCACGCCAAAGTCTCGATTTGTTGGACGTAACGTAGATGTTTTTTTAATGACCCCGACGACTCCGGTATGTCCATCATACAAACCGCAAATTTACGCGTCCAATGTCGAAACTTGCCAATAATTTCGTTTTTATTAACAGAGACTAGTTCCTGTCAACAAATCTTTAACACTTAAAGCACTGCTAAAAGCAGCCTATTTACGGAAAAGTAACGATAACTATAATCGAAACTCTGATGACAATAAACGAAGTTTTACAAATATATTTTAACTTGTGTACTATACATGCTAATTTTGATAACGTTATATGACTGACAGCTAGGTGGCCTCAGTAATCAACATATCAGTTTACCAGTCTGGGGACCCAAGATCGAATACGGTCTGGAAGGAACAATCCCAAGAATTTTTCAGGAGCGGTCTGTCCCGAATATGTCGGTTCTCGTACGTCACTACCCGTCCGTCCTCATTGTGGCCTGGCAGAACTCATAATGAAAATGGGAAAATGCCCTATTAGTGCCCGCAGATAGAGAGACAAAAATGAAAAACAAGCCATTAATGACTGATAACATAACATCTGTGATTACAATAAGCCAATGACCGGAATCTACTCTATATCTACATAAACTATAAATATATATATACCGCACTTCCTCGATTAAACCTCGGGATTGAAATAAACTCCGATTAATAAAGGTACTGTTAAAAATAACATGGGATGAAAAGCACGGAAAACATGTTGAAGTACGTTAAAGTACAGGATAATGTAGTTTAGAGTGATAAGAAACTTAAGTAAATTTTGCATCGTCAAATTGTGTAGAATCAGACAGGTTTACGGGAACATTTTTGAAATAAAATTATAAATACAGTATTAACAAATAAGTCGAGAGCTTACCAACCGAAGGACAATTACAAGAACTCGAATTTTTTAAACTCTGCCTTATGGGCACTAAGAGGAGCTTTTTAGTAAGCCCATTATGTGTTCGGCCAAGCTCATAATGAGGTGGCCAGGTGATGAAGGACGGGGCCCGACATACCCGAATGGTCCATCCCTCGGAAAATTCCTAGAGTTTTTCGACCCGTCTGGATTCGATCACTAATTGTCATAGTACTGTACATACGGGTACATAACCAATTGGATTAATTGAACCGTTTTAATCGACCCTTTGGGGACCCTGATATAAAGATTTGATACCGAAAGTTTTCTAACTTCTAATAATCTTACCCTGAACGGTGGAGTTTTTAAAATGAAACGCTTTCAGTCTATTTCAGACCATAATAAATCAGTATAACTATTCTAAAATCAATGCTAAAAAGTAACGTACTTAAAAAGTCATTTAAAAAATTTATCGTCAGTTTTCATATATTTAGAATAATTATATATCCTGAACGTTTGATTTTAAAAAACCGCCGTTGTTTAGGGTGCGATTATTCCTTTAGTTGTAGCTGTAACCCATAAATATAGCCAATGAATGGTTTTGATAGTTTCGAAAATAGTTAAGGTATTTCTTTCAATTTTTACCCGTTTTTCTTCTACTGCAAGATAGTAAACACTGTCTAAAAAAGTTTTAAAAATAAATCCCCAGGCTTAAATAGAGGAACTACGGTGTATATAACATACATATTGGTTCTAAAAAATTTATTGTGCGTTGATTTGTGTTTAATTTCATATTTTTGAGCTAATTCGTGAAACTCATAAAGGCTTTTGAAGAACCTTAAGGTTCTGCGAGAACAGTTCGGGAACCGCTGCACTAGCGATCCATAAACTTTGTGTTAAATCGTTGCTGAGGATGTTATTGCCGGAATTGGGATTCCTATGTGAAATCTTTTAGTAATCGAAATTTTGATATTCAAGCAGAGGCGGACAACTTTACTTCTGGCAGTGGTTAGAAATTTAATGCAGGTCTCTTCATCCCAATACCATCCTCCCCTTAAAAAACGAGACAGCCTACATCCTCTAAAAAATGTTTTAGTCCTTGACTGATAATTGTCTTGGTTACGTACCAAGCAAAACGCTAGACACGTTTGCGCCCTGTTGGCTTCAGGCCCTGGTTTGACTCAACCAATTTGTGCCATTGTAGTTCTGCACTGTATCCAAGACAACGTGACGCTCGTGTATTGTACACAATGTAATATCATACGTAAACATATTAGATGTTAGTCTTTTACGCCATTACATGAGGTGGTGAACAAATTGTGTCGTGTAAGTTTTCTTTTGCCGTTGGATCCCGAAACATCTGCATTACCAAAAGAAGTTAAAACTATTCTCCCCGGGAATGTTAATTTCTTACGATATTACGATATAAAAAATATTGGAACCACTGTCTGATTATAAGACAGTTTCCTATCGACGTGTTGCTGGTAAACAAATAAGTTGTCGTTTCTGTTTGTTCGTTGTTTTTCTGTTCCTCATAAATATGAGGAACCAATTTCTTCGTTTACGAAACGTCGAGTTGCAATTATAATTAAAACTATTTGTAAACCTGTATCTTACTGGGTCAGGGATAATCTCTTTAAAGCTCATACATGAAAGTCAATGACAAACCCTGCCCAAGATATTGTGGTGTGAACTGTATCTTCTAGAAATGAAAATGATGAAATATTTTTTGGCAGTCTTTTGGATATAATGATCCGCAAAACTGCTTCAATTTATTCAACATTTGCATTTAGAAGTATTTTTGTAAATACAGTGATACCTCGACTTACGTTACCCCGACTTACGCGAACCCGGAGTTACGCGATTTTCAAATCTCGTCGATTCGTCTTTTGTTTGAGCACCACGCAACTCTTGATTACTCATTCCCTCCACATTATTGTTTAACTTACATGTTCGGACGTGTCGCGCGGAATCGACACATAGCTACAATTTATTTTGTGTTATTTATTTCTGTGTTTGTTATATCTACGGAGACTCGAGAGACTCTATGTGCTGATTTCTTGTAACAATGAACGATTCAAAAGACGAGATAAGATTAACGAGAACATTTATTAGCTTACATACATCCGACTTGGATTTTACACACATTGAAAAATTATACCTCGACTTACGCGAATTCGACTTACGCGGTTATCGCTCGGTCCCACCTATCGCCTAAGTTCGGGGTATTACTGTACTTCGCGACTTATTGTTGGGTCGCACCAATTTAATATTTCAGGATAAGACAATGATTAAGAGAATTATTGTCTGCTGCTATATTAAGTTACTTTACCCTAATGAATTTACGAACATCGGAACAAACACGGACTAATTATTATTTAATATAATAAGCAGTTTAAAATTCGTTACATGTTTTATGTTATGCTCGGAATATTTCACCACAAAATAAGACTGATTTTAGGAATCAATTCCAAGCGTCTATAATTTAAAGCCAACCTTGAAGTTCCGTTGCCCCATTGTGCCCCCGTTCTTTACTTAATAATATTAATAAAAGTAAATAAAAAATTTAAGAAATTACTCACAGCTGGAGTATTGCCCCAATGTTCCCAAAGACTCTTCGAATATTCGTATCTAGTTTTCTGCTTTTCCTTCCACATTTTTGCTTCGGTTTCAATTGTCGCCACTGCTCTCTCCGTTATTCCTTTCCATCTGTTGCCGCCCAACACCAGGCATGGCGAATGAATGGCGTGGCCCGCGTTCTTTGTGGTCATCTATGAAATAAGTGCTTGAATTTTAGTTCAATATCTCTCTTCTGACCGATTTTCTCGTAAAACGCCAGACTGTTGAAACGTTTCTATTCCATAAGTTTGTAAAGGAATTCTGCAAACTTAAGAAAACATTTAAACCTCTTCCTCTTAACGATTGAATCGCTCCAAGGCCAAATGAACGTGGCGGCAAAGACATCAGCTTGCTACTCTGGAAGACCGAGAATTGAATCCAGGACAGAAACTATGGAAAGAGTCTTATTGATATTTTTCCTGAAACTGGTCTTTAAAGAAAACTGCCCATCCCTCATATGTTGCTTGTTGCATCTAGCATATCGCATTCGATCATTAAGTAAACGAAATCAACACCTAGATTTAATTTAGAAAAATTATCTTATTTTCCTACTTTAATAATATTTACTCTGAATTCTCATCTTTTAAGTTATTTGATTTTATTTTAAACTAGCTGCAAGGACCCGCTTCGCTGGGTTTTTTAAAAAAGTAACGATAGTGAAGATTAAGATAATTACATTATAGCCAATCTTACCCATTTTCACAGAATGCAAGAATTAGGTCCCCCGTTTCTGATTAGAGATCTGGTCCCGATTCTATTTCTGAACGTCTCCTGTTCACGTCAAGTGAAACGAAGTATTTTCAACGTTTCTGGGACGTTTACAATCATTCTATAATCGAACCAATATTCGAATTTTATGTTCGAATTTAATTCGAACATAAAATTCTATAAAGTTCTATAATCGAACCAATATTCGAATTTTATGTTCGAATTTAATTCGAACAAATTCGAACAAAACATTCGAAATAGAAAGCCACTTTCAACCACTTTCAGCCTTATATCTCCCGCACCCTTATAGCTATCGAGACACAACCACCTCTATGCACGAATGCAGACTTGGGGCTACCACCACATACAAACACCATTCACGTGCGATGTGTAGTTTGGCGGAAAAGTGAAATATACGGACATACATGTCCATTCATATATATATATAGTAGAACCTCGATTATCCGGACTAATACTCGATTTTTCATTATCCGGAAGGTAATCCGGATAATCGAAACAAATACTTTAATTTGTCTTTTAATGATAATACAACATGTTTTCTTTTCGATGACATATCGGTGATATTAAAAGTAAATACTGTATTTAAATCGTGATCAAATTTTCAAGAAACAAATGTTTATATTGAATTTGAACTACTACTGACCAGCACTAACAGACTACCTATTGTTTAAAAGGCCCTCTGGTGGCGCAAGAAGACGGATTTTATAAAATAAAAAGCAGTTGAAACTGCATTTTTATGAATAAAAATTTGACAAACTACTGTATTTGTCGTTTTATGACGAGTAAAATTTTTTCGTCACGTTCGCGGCTTTTAAGTAATGCATAAACCTTCGAGGCGCGAGGCAGAGGTGGTGGCCCACGTCGTCCATGCCTTATGCAACCCTTGGTCATAGAAATGATGTAATTTGAATATAAATTATTTATATATTTGAATATAAATTATTTATAAATACGTATGTCAAGTTATATTTTTATTACGACGTAAAATATATTTAAGAGTTTATGACTACTGTGCTGGGTGAGACGTTGTTGAAACAAAAAAAGTTATGCATTCCATCACGTACATAAACAGTGTCGTAATTCGCCAAGTGCAAATCAGCAAATTCGTAAAATTTTTGTTTATTTTGAACAATCCGAATAATCGAAAATCCGGATAATCGAGGTTCTAATGTATTCAGTTCTATATGCTTTCGGGAGATGATTCAAATAGCAGGTGACGGCAGATACCAGTTTGCTAGACTACAATTTATTTCCCACCCATTTCTTGGTTTAAAATCTTCCGTAAATAGAACTTTGTTAGAACTTTCTGACTTACTTTGACAATCAATTTCCGAACGGCCATCCAAATGAAGGCGAAAGATTTAAAAGAATATATTAAAAACTAGCTGTTACCCGCAACTTCGCCCGTGGAGGTTTTGCAAGCAAACCCCATTTATATTCAGTATTTCAACATCCATAGTAATTGTTATATAACACCTACCGCTGAGAATGATGAGAATTGCCGAGAATCAAACGAACTACTGTATTTTCAATTTGATCAATTTTCTGGAACGTTTACAATCGTTCTATAATCGAATCAATATGCAATAACAAATTCGAATTTAAAATGGTTCGAACATTTTTAAAATCGAAATAGATAAAAATATTTATAACAATGTCTGAAATGTTATCAATTTAATACACCTAAGTACTCAATGAAGACTAAACGTAGTTGAAAACAAAAAATCGCATCTAAAATAGTACAGTAAAAGCCGTTCTTCCGGTTAATCCTTAATTCTCTCCCTCTCCTCCCGCGGGGGAATTTCGAAAAATCCCTTCTTGGTATGCGTTTCCATGACGTACCCTAACTGTGTACCAAATTTCACCTCTGTAGGTTAAGCGGTTTGCTCTGGGCAATGATGAATCAGTGACTCAGTCAGTCAGTCAGTAAGTGACTCAGTCAGTCAGGACAAGTAACTTTATGTATTTAAATGAATGCTTAGCGCAATAAAAACTTGTGATAAAGGTAATTTTGAGTGAAAATGGAGGATGCGTCGACTCTCCTATTTAGAAACCTTAAAACTCTGCCAATTCGAGTCAATCTGATCTAATTCTCCGTCGCGGTAAAATTCGCGAGTGGAGACTTAACGAATCACATCTCTTTGGGTCTATAATTTTCGTATTTTAATGTAGATGTTAATAATATGACAAAATGGCAAGTGCTGAAATCCTATTTCGAAGGTCATGGCGATGCACTAAAAGACTTCTGGGAAAAATTTACGAAACCGAAACCGTGCCCATGGGAATTACTGGACAAATTTTTTAAGCTGTGATTATCTGGGATGGTTTTCATTGCTTCCATTTCTTTGGAATAAGGTGGGATTTATCCATAGGGAATGGGAGCAATTGATCGTTCAATTCAGTTCCGAACAAAAATCGAAGAAGCTTCCGTTTTGAAAGTTAAAAGAAACGTTCAAAATTAACCTCTCTATTGTAAGTTAATTTTAGATTTAAAAAAAAATGCTACCTAAAAGAATAGACTCCAATTCGAAGAAATACAAATTTAAAACTTTCAGAAAACGAAGTAGGTAATAATCTTCTCCCACTTTGTTTATTTCTATTGTTTTTCCAATAAACGCTTGATAATTTAGTAAGAGTCGCTCTAAGTTATTTTAATCCTTGCGTTTGGTGTCAGTTCATCCTCCAAAGGAAATCGAAATATTCTCATCTTTTTCATTCTGGCGATGCACCAACGGACTTCGATAGAAAGAGGACCAGAAAAAATATGGAAAGGGAAAGCTAATTTTTTGTTTCAACGGGAAGAAATGTGGAAATCGGCATTAATTAAAATTCTCAAATGAATGCAATTAGTAACTCGCTGATTTTGTGTCGCGTTCGCATGGTTAAGAAGGGAATCATCCACAAAATCATAAATACTTTCACTTACTCTTTCAGTTACTGACGTTCGTACGGAACTCCTTCAAAAAATGTATTAGAACATCGATCGAATCGAACGTAGCTTGGTTTCCACGCCAACTACTCTCGTCCAAATTTTTTTTTCAAATCGATCGTCGATCGGAACGAGATTTTATCATAACTGGATTATAATCTTTCCAGAATACAAATAGAGTCGATGTTTATTAATGTATAGGAAAAAAATTCAGTGTTCATTACGAAGTACAAAAGCATATAAGAAAGAAAAATAGAGGAAAATATATACATGTACAGTACATTTATATTCAAACAACATAAGTGTAAATATATTTGACCAGCAGATGAACTCGGAGTTGCCCGGGCAAAAAACAACAACAAAGATTAAGATTATTTCGTACTTCTTATCCTTCTATTTAAAGTGGCTAGAAAATATAGTATCAAAAGATCTTATATTCCTCCATTATAACAGTTGGGTCCATACATCGAGGTTAGTGACGTCACAAAAAAGATGGCGTTGATGTCAATTGTAGTGCGACTTCCGCTATGATTACACAATATCCTTTCATACAACAACATTGAGAGCGATTAAATTTGTGTTTGTAAAGTAAATAAATCCATAGGAAATGTTAATCAAATAATGGCTGAACAAGAACCAAACACCCGAAAATCAAAATCAGGTACCTGTTTTGTTCCATTGTGTAAAACGGTACCGATTCTGCACAGAAAAAAAATTCTCTTGAGGTCAAAAGACGACAATCGTTGAAAAGATTGGGAAAAGTTATTCAAACGCTATGACTTAACTTTGGAGCCCTGGCATAGGCAGGATCATGCGGTAGATTTTCTTAGTATGATGCAAGTCTTTGAAATTCTGCCCCTTAAATGTTTTTTATGCCGCCCCCTTACGGTACCGCCTGATGCGGCCGCCTCTCTGCATCATAGCACGGCACGGCCCTGCGCATAGGGTTTGTGAATTACATAGACTTCGAGGAACATTTTGTAATCAGAAATTGGAAACAAGTGAATGGTGAAGAAGTTATTGATATTATCTCCAGTGATGTTCCAATACTGTCTGTTGATGCAGTTCGAAGTTTGAAGGTTACCCAAAGTATTATAGTAATGTTTCACTGCGAAGGAAAAGATCAAACAGAAATTTAATTAATACCACAAACAAGAAGAAGACGGTCAACCCTCCTCTTCTCTCTTCAGAAAAATTAGGTATCCAGCCAGAATTGTCCTCAGCATCTTCCTCATTTTCATCCCTTCAAGCTTAAAGATTTTGGAAAGCTAAAAGTGCCGGATTTCTGGATAAGGTGCCCTTTAAAAAATGAATCTAATTTAATTGTGTATGCAGAGAATGAGCTAATGTTAGAGGACAATAGAGGGGTGCACGTGACATCACATGACTCCGCTCACATATACAGAGACTGCGTAAAGAAGCGCGCTACATATTGGTTGCTGATTTCATGTTACCTTGCTTGATCACTATTATGTCAAGTGAAAGAAAGGAATTTTACCAGGCTTTGCAGCCTATATGACAGGTAATGATTTGATAAAATATAAAGAGAAAACGTATTTTATCGGATGGGATCCATACGAAATAAAACAAACGGATTTTCCATCCAACGATTTAACTACGTGGTCAACTATAGAACATAGACAGTAAATTACTTGGTTTTAACAACTAACGCTGTCACACTGGATCAGATGAAGGAATAGAAATCACTTGATGCTCATAATTATTTGACAAGCGGATTTATTCATCGTGATATTTTATCAAGAGCCGTTCGTAATGATTTAATTTTGTTTGTAGGAAAGGTACGTATCTTCATGTGAGACCTTCCATTACTCATAACATAACCGTTAAAATAAAGATGAATGTAAATCCAGAATGTATTAGTCTGGAATTGCTATTTTTGTTAAGATGGTCTTGATAGATGTTTGTATTTATACTGTATGGGTGGATGTAGGCTGATGGGGAGTTTTTGTGCCCGAAATGCATTTTACTTTTTTGCAAAAAATATGGTGCATTTCTTAAGTACTTATTTTTTTAGGAAAAAATCCTATGATCGTTGTCGTAAATAAATTTTGTGTTTTAATCAGGGCTGTGGAGTCGGAGTCGGAGTCGTGGAGTTTTGGTGTTTTAGCCGGAGTCGGAGTCGTCAAAAAATCCGCAGACTCCGACTCCCTTTTACTTACCAACTTGTTATGTGTATGAAACGGAGTCGAGTCGGTAGATTTTTAAGCGACTCCACAGCCCTGGTTTTAATCGATACATTACATCGAGTTTATAATTGTATATGTTATCGTATGATGACGACACTTGTTTAATTAAATGAAAGCCTTGTTTTAATTCTTTTTTAAATATTTATGTTAATTTATCAGTTTACTGTTGTGCAACAAATTATACAACGGTAGACCTACTTAATTATTTGTGTGATTTAATTTGAATTTTCCAAACTACATAGTAATAAGTAATAATTAATTAATTAATTCTTAAATTGTTTTTATTTTATACGCTAGTCTGGAATAATTTTCGGAGAAATTTTGGGTCGTGAAAATATTGTTTTGAAGTCAGACCAGCGTGAATTAATAAATTTCTTGATATTAATATAAGATGATATCCTTGTAAAATAACTTTTTAAATAATTTGTAATTAAAGCTACATTTTAATGACAGACATGAAAGTTTTCAATTGAAACGGACATCTTACTTGTAACAAAGCCAACTGTTATGGATCGGTTAAAATGTTAAACAATGTGGTAGTCGGTTCAAACATTGTGATATCATTTAGATAAAAGATTTTAAAAAATTATATGTAATATTTGATTGAATCACATGACTATTATTTAAGGTTTAAAACTGTTTTGATTGCAACGAGCTAGAATATACTACATAGAGTTGCTGTGACCTTAGATACAGCGCTCTTGGTTGCAACGACCGGTTTTATCGATTGCCATTTTACATTTAAGTCAATACATCGAACATTGTAATAATTAAATAAAATCTAGAAAATAAAGGTAAGATCAGAGTTTAAAGTGATAAGTGTAATACTTAACCCTCGATATAACAATAATTTTTATAATCTAAGTACGAGCCAAGTCTTGAAGGGCTTTATTCTCAGCCATATGATTGTTTATTTAATAGTGTACTCGGGTCAATCTAATACATACCATACGCAGTAGATTTACTGATTTTTTCGGACTGCTTTTTTTTTCTTTTGCAGAATATAAGTAGTGTTCTTATGTTTTTATTATAATTATAGATTGTTTGTGAAAATTTTGGTTTTAACTTGTGAAAATATTTATAATGAAAAGCTACATTTTGACCTAAGTCATGTTATGAACAACATTGCTGAATTTAAAATCCTTCTAAGAGGTAATACGGAGCTAATAATTGTGAGAAATGAAAAAAGCGTTGCATTTGCCCAACAAAAATAAACAAAGAAAGCATGCCAGTAACTGCAAGAGACTGATGTAAAAACTGCACCATTAGGATGTGTACAAATTGTGCACAATATACATCATTCTGGATAAAAGTACATTATACTAACATGAACTAACCTTTTGTTCGTTATGTCATTTATACAAATGTCTAGAACTAATTTCATTAACTATCTTACCGGTATGAATTATTAACATAGCTTTCTTAAAATAATAAAATAAATAATAATAAAACATTATCATATTTTAAACCTAGCAGCTTGTGAAAAAATCCATTTACGACCTGTGTAACATTTCCGGCTGTTGTGAGATTTTATTTAAAAAACAACTTTATATTTTTAATTATTATCGAATGGCAAAAGATGCCAAGTGTATCTTGACAAAGACGGAGATTATGTTGAAAAGCGATATCAAAAGTTTTCTTCTGAACTGACTGATTTAGAAATTATGAGGATATTGATGAATTTTATTTTAAAAAAATTGTAAATGTTAATAGCAAATAAAAACTTCATTAAATCCGACTTCTCTCGAGATACGACACATATAACTCCCCACCCCTTCAACCTTTAACTACCAAAATTCAATAGCATCAATGCTCTTTATACACAAGTTACCATGCCAAATTTCGTTTCTTATAGACGCCAACACACACATACACGGAATATTTTTTCCTTTTTTTTGGATGTTTTGAGTTCAGGAGGTCTCAAAACGTAGAGATTTGCAAAAAAACTCTGAGGGTCAAATTTGATACGATTCCATGCTTTCTCTTATCATGTATACAGTAAGAAAGTAAAGCCGAGAAAGTAAAGAATGCTTAGAAATGCATTTAACTTATCGCTACAGAATATTTTGTCTTGTTTAGAAACGTTTAAATATAGGGTTAAAGAAAGAAATGTCTTGTTATTTACTTTCAAAATTAAAAAAAAACTAAGTAGGGTCATTTTGACTCGCACTATCTCAGTTAAGGATTAAAACTTTTCCTTTCCTTTGCACACTTTGATATCGTTTACTATTAATTTTGGCTGTTTTAATCTGCTCTCAAATTACGATAATAAATTTTCTGGTAAGAACTCTTGGCGTTTTAATCGTATCGGAATTGACGAGCCTTCCGTTTATTCAAGTGCTTTAAAATAAAAGGAAAACATATTTTAATTAGATAAATTATATGATAAACATAATGCGATATGAAATATGCGCTACAGATAACACCACTTCTCTCTGATAAAAGGGTCAAATTAAATCCCAACTTATACTTTTAAACTTTCGGCATTTTAAATTAATCTGGCGAGTAAGTACAGTACTTACTTTTTAACGGAGTTGTTATGCATTATCTACCATTAGAAAACATCTCCGAAAATAAATAAATAAATTACATAAAATCCATAACAGATAAGATATACTTAAAAATCATCGCAAGAATTTAAAAAAAGTAAATTATTATTCATCTGTAAAAAATAATTCCTAAGCATGTGTATAAAGCTGTTAAGGCACGTTTGGGATATGTTTTCCACTCACTTTGAAGCTGAAGAAATTGATATTTCCCCAACCTTTAACTCTAGCGCCTGGGTAAAATTATATAACAATATTTTTGCATTTTACTTTTTTGCAAAAAATATGGTGCATTTCTTAAGTACTTATTTTTTTAGGAAAAAATCCTATGATCGTTGTCGTAAATAAATTTTGTGTTTTAATCAGGGCTGTGGAGTCGGAGTCGGAGTCGTGGAGTTTTGGTGTTTTAGCCGGAGTCGGAGTCGTGATAACCGATTTATGTACGAAAAAATAGTTTAACGTATCCGATGTTAAAATTTTTACCCGTTGCGTGTCGCTTCGCGTTGAATTTTCGTCGATGTTAAGCCTAACAAAGACTATTGTATCGTTAAAAATTATTTTTTTATTCTGTACGAACAAAATAAATATATTGAAAAATATGAAAACAATAAAAAATTATACTTCAGATGTTAATTTAGTATGAAAAACGTAAAATATTTGAGTAGCCCAAGACATAGCCAAAGATTGAAGCGCCACAGCACTGGCGAAAATTAAAATTTGCCGACTGGAATTCTTTCGGATGATTGACTTTCGGAAAATCGACGCTCTACTGTAATTAAATGACCCCCATTATACGAGTGAATTTGTAATATGAATGATTATTCATATTACAAATTTCATGTAATTCTTATAGACAATAATAACATTAAAGGATTAAAATAAATAAAGACTGCACGGAAAATCCAGCAACAATGATGCCAGTGTTTTTAAATCCATTTTAGTAGCTCGACTTCTACGTTACGGATCGCTTCGTTTCTAGTTTAACAGCATTTAGCTACATCCTTTACAAAAAGTAAACGTTTTTAAAAAGTTCAGACAATTGTTTTCCAAAAAATAATTTAATTATAATTTAAGTACAACGGTGTTTAATATGTCTCAACTGTCCATATCAAATAATTCGATTAAGCTCCAGTTATAATAACTAAAAGGTTGCTGGACAAAGCACATTTAATATGTCGAATCCAGTTTCCCAGGGATAAACGGAAGAAACGATTTTTTCCCCTTTCAATTTCTTCCACAAAGAGTAACCTATTCGTGGAAAAGCACAGTCGTTCCGAGAAAGACATAAGAGAGGACAAAAGTCGTTTTGTCCGTCTCCCACGTAGGATATTCTGGAAAATCTAATGTCTTCCTGTTTTCTTTTATCCACATATGATTGGAGAATGGAACCCTTGCATAAGTTCTTCGAACTCTTATCGCACCAATCCTGCAGATGGTATTCTTTTAAATGAAGGCAACCTTCCGAATCGAAATAAGCCGGGTTCGTAAACACCTCGTCGACGACGAAATCCAATTCGGCATTTTTTAAGATGTAATTAATAAAAACCGTGTTGGAGTCCGATATTATAATTATTTCGAATCTTTTGGTGGCGTGCAAATTAGTTAATAACTCTTTCATACCTGTTACCAACGAGATTTTGTCCAAGCATCCGAAGAAATCCGCTGGTCGAATGTTATTCTGATAAAGATAGAGGAAGACTGTTTTCATGTAGAGTGTCCAACCATCCGGTTTGTATAATTCTTTTATACGTGGCGGTAGTCGACCTTCGGGAGCTAATCTGATCACAAACACGTCGCTATTTTCATTTATTATCGTATGATCGAAATCCAACACCAATAATTCTTTCTCGTTCGTCATCTGTAAATATAAACAGGAAACGTTTACATGCCAACTCATTTCATCAAACTGAATTCTACGTCACTCCAAATTCTGCTAAACTTTAACCCACGATCCAAATACAGGAAATCCTTGATAATTCGAACTCCGATAGTTCGAAATGTCGTTAGTTCGTAACTGTACGGTACTTCCCTGCCGGAGATAGAGATTTACACGTTAAGCAATTCGGTTAGTTCGAAATTCAAAGTGAAAATTCTGTGATATGCGTAAGTTATGTAAACTCGTTCGTTTAGATCGAAGGCCTCCATGCTGCAAGAACAACTCTAATCTGATCAATATCCCGAATATCCACTGTAAGGTGGATATTCGGGATATTGCTTTGCTTTTACAGTAACATATTTTCGGGAGTCACCTTACCCATGGATTACTGTTTTTTTCTTATCCTATAAAATACGGCTGGGGTTCGGGATTGTAAGATTGGGCTACAAGTAACAGACTGAGATAACTGTAGGGCTCAAGGCAACGAGATAGAACATAAAGTGCTAAACCGATTACTACAGCTGAGGAGAATTGAAGTGCGGCAACCATGACAGTTGAAGTGGACTCCGTGTTTGACTAAATTTAAGTTAATGATAAGTGAAGATATTTTGCAATTTAGATAAAATCAATGAAGTCGCTTTTTTACATATACAATATATCAAAAAATATTATGTAAAATTTATCATAATTCTATTATATTATTTCATAAAATTACAATTTTTTTCAGCAAGTTTTTGGATTTTTAGAAAAATAATTTTATTAAATAATAAAAATTAATTTTAGTATACACATATCGACATTAAATTACATATTAAGCATAACGTTTTGCAGTGCAATACAAAATACACATACTCTATATCATTTAAAAAATAATGATGTGTATCACTGTCCTTTAAATATAATCATTTTTGTAAACATTTGTCTTACTTGTGCACCTCTAATCTTAATACTTTCCATTTGATGCATATAGTTAATACCAATTATAAAAAATTGCTTCAATAATGCTTTCACAAGAAGTGAGTAATGAGAATCTTTACTAAACTCAGTTGCAGTGAAAAGATGCTCACCCTTATGAAAGATGGTAGTAGTGAAATTAAATCCATTGTATCATATTGCAACTTCATAATCCAATTTTTTCCTGGTTTTATTCCTACTGGAAAGGTTCTTCTGAAAACTTTTTCAGCAACAAAATGTAATTTTATGACATCATCTGAGGAAATATATAGGCCATCTTGATCTTTTATAAATATTAAGCTATCCTTTGTCAAATTTGTGTTATTTCCAAGCAAATGCTTCATGTAGGAAAAACATTTAGAAGTTTTACAATATGATTTTACAATATTTTCAGCAATTTATTCTATTACTTTTTCAGATTAGTGTGTTAGTGATTCATATTTGTGGAATGTAAGAATGATCAAATTTTAAAATATTTTGCAGATTATTTATTGTATCTTTATTATATTGTAAATCTTGCTTTTCTATATATTTTTGATTAGAAATGCTAAATGGAAGGATATCTGTACAGTTCAATTGACTATTAGCTTTTGGAGATGGAGAAACTCTAGCAAACAATCACTTCCTATATGCTGATCTAAACTGCAATGCTGTGGGATTGTTGTTGTTACCACCTCTATTTTAATTGCAGAAAAAATAACTCAATATGATCTTGGCTGAATTTTTTTTATGAGAAGATACTTTAATAATGGCTTTTCACTCCAAACATATTGATTTGCTATTTGTTCTATATTTTTAAAATCAATTATTAGACCAATTATTGGAATCTTCCTTTTTCCTTTAAGAAGTGGACAGTTTTTACAATCATTTAGTTTACTGAAATAATCAATTCCTTCATTAATAATTTTCAAACATTGGTGTTTGTTTCTGTTTGTGACGTGACTCTTTTTCCATCTCCACATTGGGTGACCAGAATTAAGCAGGTCAAATATATCATTTACATTCAATGTGAATTCAGCAGTTGCATCAACATTATTAAATATTAAAGCCTTCTATGCAATTTTCTTTACAAAATATAAAACCATTACTTACAGATCTACTTAATGTCTGTGCTGCTATATTTACCTTCATTTTTCATCTCCTCCATTCCAGTATGATATGACTTTAGTTCATTTGAGACACGAAGACCTTCTTTATTCTGTAAGTTATATAACTGAATAAAATATTGCCATTTAATAATTCTGTCATCATTCTCATCCATCTTTAGAACTTTATGATCAGCCAAAAGATTCCTCATCAATTTCAACATATGATATTCATTGCCTACATTACCAAAAAGCTGATGTTTTAATAGATCATGAAGCAGTCCATTAATTAAAGTTATTTTCTATCATTAAAGCATCAGAAGTAGAAAGCATTTCTCTGAGCCTTTGAATAATGTTTTTTGAATTGACAATCTTATTTGAATTTCTTTTATTAGACTGTCTGCTATATTTAAATTTCTTTTGTAGCTGTTCACATTTCTATCTTGTTAAAATTAACATTTCATGCACCTTCTTTGGCAATGGCAAATGATATGTATGATCACAAGAGACTGATACAGTCGACCCCCCTATAAGATAGAGATACGTTCCATTCTCTAGGAATCCGCTTTCTTACGAATCCTTCCAATCACAACCCGACACGTATCAAGTTTACGGACTACGGCTGTTTGAAAGATTATCTTCCATAAAATTAATCGATTCTAGACTAATCCGACTCAACATTTCCAAAATACGTATATATTTTTTGGGAATAATCCGTATAAACTACGCTATAAACAAAAAATTGTAGGATTACTTACCGAGTGTCACCATTCGACATTGCCATTGCTCAACATTGTTTTCGTCGCGGAACAGCTCAGCAAAGAGCGGCCGATTTCTAACAACTTATTTTTCTGTGAAAACTTCGTAGAACTTCGGAGACATCATTAATATAAATAATTTTAATCGCCGTTGAATAAGAAATGTTTCTTTCACAAGAAATGTATAAAATTACAGTACTGTATTAGACTTACGGTACCTAATTTACATACTGACAGACGATAGTTAGCGTAAAAATCTCCGTAGCGTGGCCCCACGCTAGACGGCGGAAATTATATATTTAATTATAACAAAGTTACAATAAGTTAATATATAATTATATATACAGTACCTAATTTATATATAATTAATATATAATTATATGTACAGTACCTAATTTATATATAATTTATATAATACTGTCCAGACGATAGAAATCTCTCCGTAGCGTGGCGCTACGGACAGCGGGAAAGTAGTTCGGCTTCCCGATGACGTTTGAGGTGTTTGGATACCGGTAGCAATTTTTTCGTAGTTTTATAGGAATCGTAACTATAGGGACCGTAATTATAGGGGGGTCGACTGTACTTCATATTCTATCTTTGCAACTTTTTCTTTACAGGCTTCTGAAATAGGGTCTTATGATGTTGGTTTTCTTTCTGAATGTTTTTATTGCAGGGATGTTTTGAAGATTTGGAGGAAATGAAAAAACTGTAGGAACAGAATTTGGTTGTAAATATCTTCTACTATTATTATAACTGAAGCATGCTTCTTCAAAATGAGATGAACAAATTCTACTATTATTGTTTGGTTTCCAATGATAGCTTCACACTAGTACAAGCCATTTCTTAAGAAGGGATTATCAGTGAGTGGAAACCTGACAAAGAAAAATTTTTATTTTAAATTTCATTATCACAGGAATATAATCTGATTTACTTTTCACTGACATTAATCACTAAAATTCATAATTTGATATGTATAAGGATTCTATCCCAAACATTTCTAATTATTTAAATTTTTATAAATTAGACAGCGTTTCAAAGTAAGTTTGACACTTTTTGTTTACTTTTATTAAATTAATCTTTAAACATTTTATTAGACATAGAAAAGTATAGTGTGAACAAAATTAATAATCATAACTTACTTGTGAAACAAAATTCCCAAACCTTTCTTGTAACTGTTAATACAATTGATAACGGCACAAACATGTGGAATGATTATACGGTATACTTTGCTATCAACCCCCTGAAACTGTCATGGCTTCCTTCTCTTCAATCAGCTTCAAAAAGTGGCACTGCAATCACTGCTACTGGCACTCGTATGTTATTCTATCTTGTTGGCGGCCCACCAGTGGCCAAGCAGTCTTCATTCCCTGAACACTGGGAGTTCAGTTCTGAGTTCACGCCTTGCTCAAACGTGGAGTTTTCTGTGTTTTCTCCACGTCTGTAATGCCTAAATAGGGGCCAGTTTCCCTTAAAAAGACTTCCCAGAAGACATCCCCCTAGGCAGATCGCCTAAGTGTTGCGTTACCATAACTTAAAACAACTATCTTGTTGGCTCAAGGCTACTACATTTGGGCAGTTTACTACTTTTTGGGCTATTTTAAAAATAATTTTGGCTACATTTAGAGGATTTCTACTTTACTCTTTATAAACCTATCTGGCAACCTGTTGGCTCAAGGCTACTACAGGCATTCTCACCAGGCATGTGCAGTTTACCTGCAGTTTATTTATGTCATTATTAATATTCATTAACTCAAATAGCATTCTATATACATATCCGTATTCCATTGCTTAATAAATTCAGTTGTGTGGCATTTGGCATACTGTACAGATATATGTACAATTGCAGATAATTTGAAACTTCGATATTTCGAATTCGCGATTATTTTTTCTTGAATTTCGAACTAACGAGAATTTCCTATAATACTTTTGCCAGATTTGCTTTTTCAACTATTTCTACCCCGTGGGCATTAAAATGGCCTCTTAGCAAGCCCATTATGAGTTCAGCCAGACCCACAGCCAGGTGGGGAGGAACGGGGCCTGACATATCTAAGTGAACCACCACTGAAAAGTTCCTGGGGATTTCTCGACACGTCCAAATTCGATCCTGGGTCCCCCAGAGCAGTTGGCTGCCATAATGACTGCTTGGTCATCAATATTTTTTTGATTAAACCCCACAGGGTTTATTTTTAAAATGCACAGTATGTATATCTGCGGTTTATTTGAAAACCTGGGGTTTTCGAGGCTGGAATTTACCTTGCAACAGAAGATGAGTAGATAAAAATTGAAGTAGCTTAATTATTCATACATTTTCCGAACTATCAAAACCATTTATTGATTGTATTTATGGATTACAGCTACAGCTACTTTTTGAGATAATTACTGTTTTCAATTAACCCAGTTCATCTTTCTCCAATGTGGTCATTACTTTGTCATTCATGTCTGATTCGACACCACCATAGGAATCAAGATCTTGACTAACGTCTTCTGGTTCAAGTTCGTCTCTTTCGGAAAAAGATGCTCAGTTTCAACCTTTCCTAATTATCCTTCAGTTAATAAGCTTCCCACTTTTGAACACGATCAGAATTTTCCTGCGCTCAATATTTGTAATTTTACGAGGTAGAATTTTAAACTCCTTTCCTGTCACTCTAAACATTACCTTATACCAGGCATGGCCAACATACGGCCTGCGGACCAGATCCGGCCCGTCTAATGAATTTATGTGGCCCACAATCGATCTTTCAAAATAGCTCGATGAAAAATTCTGACGCAAAAAAAAAAAGAAAAAGATCAACAACTCACTGTGCATTTACAGTTAACCCTCCATTACAAATCTCTTAAGTACAGCGTAGAGTGTTGATATAGCATGATAATGGAAAAATATATCTGTAATCTCTATCTACAATTCAGTCTCTAAGGGGCGACACCATTATGAGATCTCGCACCACCTCAAAATCTTACTAGGGCAGCCTCTGGTTTGGCCTGTGGAAAAAGTTTTCTTTCCAATCCGGCCCGGGGACAAAAACTGTTGGCCACCCCTGCCCTATACAGTGCAAGCTGAACATGCTTTTCGATTTTCAACCCGGGACTTATTTTAACAGTATCTTTATTCACCGAGTTTAATAGAGAAAATACGGTAAATGTGTAATCAGATGGTCAAGAATAAAATGAAACGTCAGACGGAAAATTAGTATCTCGAATAATCAAATGGGAAAAGTAGCGTAACTCAAAAGTTCTAACTAGACAATTTCGTCTTTATATTACTCTACAACTCTTGTTTATCCGCTAGAGGGATACCGATACTTCGTGTCGATCGCGGTATTTTGCTTTCGGAAGCATGCAATCGTTTTCCGAAGGATATTTGATTTTTAAAATTTCAAATTCATATTCACATTATTTATACTCTAATAGACATAATTAGCATTTATCAATTGTCACCTGCATTATACATGACTGTTATATTTGCAAAAATGTAACCTGGGCGTTAGGTAACGCTTACTGTTATGTTAAGTATAAATTGTATACTTACATTAATTTAATTATTATTCTTTGGTTAAAATTTCTCAATGATCTTGATTATATAAACAAAGATTTGAACGCCCGCACGGAAGATGCAAATGTCGAGATTACTTTCACTTAGAATTAAGTGTTGCCACATTTCACACTAGATACATTTTCCATAATATAAACAAACATTTGTTAGGCGTGTAATTTTTTATATGGTCAGAGATTGTTGTTCTCTGGAATATCGCTAGAAAAATATTAACCAAACTTGTTTTCGTTCTAACATTTTTAAAATAAATGTCCGAGAAGGACCGTTCAAATCTGTTGACGTGCCTCTATCACCTGCCCGCTAGACCCGTACACGGGAGTTTTTAAATAACCTATGTTATTTTTTCATAACGTAGTTGATTAATGTTTAATAGCATTAATATTCGGGAAAAGCAAAAAATAAATGTTATATACAGTATACTGTTTAATTCTAATTTTATTCATATGTGAGTACATTTTTAATTTTCAAATCCCCATATTTTTTTTTTTTTTTTACTCTTTCCGCCCTTTGAGCACTAAGACAGTCTCATTTAGCAAGCCCATTATGTGTTCAGCCAGGCCCACAGTGGGGCGGCCGAGTGATGAGGGACGGGGTCCGACATATCCGAACGGACCACCACTAAAAAATTCCCGGGGATCTTTCGACCGCCCGAATTCGATCCCGGATCCCCAGAACGGTAGGCTGCCACAGTTCAGCTCGGCCATCCGGACGTTCTCAAATCTCCGTTGGCATGGCCTTGTCACCCGCTATAAATATTCGTCGGATGACGCGCGTCTTTTTCACTATGATATTTATTATTTGTACGACACGACGCAATTTTTATTGGTGGAATCTGCCTAAGGTCCACGAATATTAGAAACAAAAGCACGAAATTCGTTTTTCGCAGTATCCTCTGCGAAGAAAGTCGCGCCACTTGCCGGACAATTTTCGAAACGGTCGAACCGAAAATTGAACGGCAAACAGCGGCTGTAGGACCGATCTATTCGATCGATCAACAGAAGAAAAAAAGGGCGAAATGGCGACTGGAACCTTTCTAAGGGTTCGGCCGTTTATTATAAGTGGAAAAAAATTAATTAAAATTTTTCTCGCGTGGAGGAATGCGGTAGAACGCGTCGGCCGGTCGATCCGCCGCCGTCCGGTCCGGAGGACGGCGCTGATGACGTAGCCATTCGCTTATCCGTCCGAGTGAACTTCGAACGCGATAAATATCTTATTATCCGTCCTTCTCGTCCCATTCGATCGCCGCTGCAACCCACGAGAAACAGGAGTCATCTCCCAAAATGTCCTTCACCATAGGAAACGTATTAATCTCCGAGTCGGTGGATCCCACCTGCGCCAAAATATTGCAGGATAACGGAATCAAAACCGATACTAAAATAGGATTGTCCCGGGATCAGCTGATAGCGGAATTAAAGGTAATCCGGATTATTACATAACGATTACGCAAGCATGAAACTTTCCCTTCCTTCTGGATCTTTAACCAAGGCCGATAGTTAGCTAGGCGTCGCTTCACTGCTTACATTTTAATTAAATAACGTAGAATATTTGTCGGCCTTGTGTTTATCAACGTGGCATTACGGGTTATCGAATTACGCGTAGAAACGTGTCCATTAAAAAATATTAAGCTGGTTTAATGAGATTGGGCAACGCAACACATGGCTGATCTGTAAGGGTGAATGTTTCCTGGGAGAACTTTCTGTAGGAAACTCCTCTATTTTAAGAAACGAAGAAAATCCGGAAATTTCACATGAGCAGTCCGTTGGTAGGGCACAAACCTGGTGTCCAACTACCAGTATTCAAAAGTTTTATTTGTGTAGCTGCACATTCATTTAAACATGCATTCAAAAGTTTTATTTGTGTAGCTGCACATTCATTTAAACATGCATCTGCATGTTTAAATGAATGTGCAGCTACACAAATAAAACTTTTGAATACTTTGAATTTGCACATTCATTTAAACATGCAGATGCATGTTTAAATGAATGTGAAGGTGATGATTAAGATTTTATTTGGAGAGGAAGTTGTGGATAGAAACTGTTCTGTAAAATGAGGCCATGACAATCTTTGTCTAATAAGGATCTGTGGAAAAAACAAAAAAAAAAAAAAATAGATCCTGTCTCTAGGAATCTGTCATTGAGAGCTTGAAAGTGGCAAAAGTGCACTTTTTTTTTTAACAAATGGAATAAGTAGAATGTTTCTTTATTAATAAAAAATAGACTTAAAGATTTTATTTTTTGTTAGTAAAAAATAACATTAATTTATAGAGGTAGTTTTTTCCTCCTAAGTTTTCTCTGGTCCAGGGAAATACTAAGCTCCTCATTCTTAACAATGGATCTGTAAATAACTGGAGAGGCAATGGTGGAAAAATTTCTATTGATGGCTTGAAGCCAATTGAGCATTTTATTGTATTTTGCAGAAAATGTTGCAACCAAAGGGCCTGAATATTATTCCCTTATGTTTTTCATACTTAAAAATATTTTGGCAAATTAAAATATATTTTATACTTTGAACATTTAAGTAATTTTGATATAGGTCTATACAGCAAAGAAAAAGCTTTAAAAATAAAATTTAAAAAAATTTATTTTTTGAAGTATAAAATGTTACCAATTTTATCTCCCTATGCTTTCTTGAAATGCAGGTAGGAAATTAAAGAGAATGTATTTATTAAAGACTTATTATATATGTAGCCTTTCTTTTAATTGTTGATTACAGAGCATTAATAATGTTGGGTTTAGTGGGTTATACTTAGTTGACACTGGTTGCTATGTACTGTACTATGCTGGACCAGAGCCAAGGCATGACAACCAAAACAAGACAAAAATTAGTGTATCAGTGTGTATTTCTGTATTCAGGAATTTCCTAACAATATGACATGTATTCAATATAGTGGCCTTATGTAGAGTAATGTATGTGTTTCTATTCAACTGTTATGTTCCCAGGCTTTTGTGTAGTGGTATGAAACCTGTAGAGAATGACAGGTACAATAAGCACCCTATCCATCTTCCACACATGCCTTATTTCCTAGGTGAGTTCTGTGTACTTGTTGGTTTTTTCAGTGCATGTGTTTTATACTGCACTGAGTGTTTGGAATGGATATGTCTATAATGTATGTGATTTTATTGTGTTTGTCAATGAGTGTGATTGTCTGGTCTGTTGTGGTAAATTGTTTTAATCTGTTATTATGGCTCTGTCACAGTAGATTTTGTGCAATACTATCTGTGGAATGTATTTGTAGTATGGTGTGTGGATGTATAATAATTTGTTTGTTTGCAAGCTTTTTGTGTATTATATTTGCTACTTGATTATGCCTATCTAAATAATCTGTCTGTGCCAAGAGCTTGCAACCAGAAGTGATGTGTTGTATAGTTTCTGGTATGATCTGACATTTTCTGCATGTGTCATTTGTGAGTGTTAGCTTTGAGTATGTGTTTCCTATAGTTTTTTGTATTTATGACCTGATCCTGTATGACAATTATGAACCCTTCCATCTCCCCAAAGAGGCATCTTTGAGCTAACCAGCTGTTTGATGGAGTTTTCTCAAATTATTATTATTATTATTATTGGAATGGCTTAAAAATATTTTAATACTCTCTTTTCTGTATTATATTTTTTTTGCATTGACAATGGTGTATTTACCCCACTTCTGTTTTTAACAATCTGAAACAAATATTAATAATAAAATAATAATTGGTTGGCTTAAAAATCAGAATTTTTAAAGTATGTCTCAATCTTTCACTACTGTAAGTATTCCATTTTCAAGAGGAAGGAAAGTATGTCATGGGCTTAATTTTTTTGTTTTTGTGAATTTATTGAAAAGTCAATGTGTAGGTTAGATTAGGTTAGATGTAGATACAGATATAGATATCAATGCCATGAGTAGTGAACAAAAAACTTGAATTTATCAATAAACATTTCCTAATATATTTCAAAAAATGAATAGGATTAAATAGATATGTTGTTATCTCTATCTGACAAACTCTCAGTTACTTGGTTGATACTGAAGGTATTATTAGATGTTCATAAATATTACTTACAGACCTTTGTTGCAAAATGTTATAACTTATTTAATCAGCCCTTTTTTGGAGGGTGCCAAGGTCCCTTGGCAGCCTCCAAAGAAAAAGGAAAACAAAGACTAGAAAATTTTCCAAAAATATTTTCTGAATTAAAATTTCATTTTTTTTTATTTATATTGTGTCATGTCTTATATTTTTGTGCTACTTATAAATTAGCAGTCACATGAAGTGGGAATTTTATTGAATTCGCATTAAAAACTTTTTATCTGTTCAACTCAGCTCTCCCAAAATAAAATTGTGATTGCTCCACTGAATCTATATTATTAAGCATTAAAATAAATAGGAATTATATAGACCCAAACATAGTAAACATAACACACAGAAATAACCAAAATAAAAGATAATGGATTTTCTTTTTTGTGTGAAACTGCTCTTTAGATTTTTTTTTTTTTTTTTTTAAACAAGTATATTGGATATTAAAAGTAAAACTTGTATAGCATGTTATTTAAAACATCAAAAAGCAAAAAGTTTATAAAGCTTTAAAAATTAAGAAAACGCTTATAAACAAAAGAAAAGTTAAGTAAAGATTTGAATATTAGTAGTCAATAGATACAGCCTTTACATGGAGTTTCTAGTATTTTAAAATTACAGAACAATGTTACTGTTAAATTATGCAAATTTTTCGTCTTTTATATTCTGTCTTGACAGTATTTACTGCTATACTTTACATTCTGCTATTTCCCAATTATTTAAATTTTCCCATTCTTCCCCAAAAGAATTAACAGAAGACTATTAAGTTATTTCACTTGTAGATCTCTAAGGCAGCCTGAATAAAGCATGTTGATAGTTTGTCAAATGCTCATCTGTTTACAAATGCATAAAAATGAAATTAATGACAATATATATGCAATAAACAATTTTATTGATTTATATGCTATTGTCAGCTACTCTTCAAATTATATTCAGTTTAAACAAAATTAACTCAGAATGCAATGCTTTGACAAATATACACAAAACATTTGTTCTTCCCCATATAATATGGCAACCACTGGACTGCGCACTCATGTATTAGCTTCGGTGGTTAACTAGTCTTTGTCCCTCCACTTAATTATAGCACCATGTTCTCGATGAACCTGGTCAGAATGTCTTAACTACAATTAAAGCCCAAAGAAAAATAATTAAATTCAGAAATGATCTGATGTTTTATTTTTTATTCATTTACTTTATGCCAGGTAGGAGGTTTCAAAGCAGTAAAATAGATGAATAAAGATTCTTTGGCATGATATAAATGGTCTCCAGTTGGATGACCATTTGTTATGGTATCTAACTATGGAAGGAAATCTACTTTGACACATTTCTGGCAGCAAAAGAGTGAGTCCAATTCTTTGTTACTAAGTCTGAAGTCTTAACCACCAGAACAAAAGAAAGACGAGCCCATCAACATTGCATTGATATTGCTTCTACTGTTGGCTGATGGGAACTTTTGAAGAAATTGCCCAGCACCTTTTTCAACTCAATAACTTGTCTTTTTGATTTAATTCTTGTTTGAATTGCACCTTTTTCATCTGTAAATCTTGCCCAAATGAGGTTATTTTTGGAAGCAGATGTTGACAATAATCTACATTTTGTAATTACTGATACTGTTATAAAACAAAATGAGAAAAGCAGAGTATGTAATATAGATTTTGAAGAAAAAATAATCTAGAAAAACTTGGATTGCTAGACCTGAGAGGAGAATACAAAGAACACCTTATGACTGGATTGAATATAATTTTGGAAAACAGATTTACTGGAAAATATTTTTTGATATGCTCATTCAAGCTGTTGAGAGTCGAGTACATTTTATATTCTACTCTCAGCCAGAAAAAGATATGTTTACTGATGTTTGGCTGTCAGCCAATAGATTGTTGTTTAATCTGCTCTGTGAAAGTGTCCATGGCTGAATATTTGCTGTCCCAATGCATATGTGGCTAAATGGGAAAAGACAATGCTACTCTACTTTTTACACTTCTATTGAGCAATAGATTCTTCCAACTGCACTCCTATTGTAGGAATCTGCAGACAGTGGACCAGTTTCTACTAGAGTGGTATATTATTGCATTATTAGTTTTTGGATGTGTCTGACTTAACAAGAATGGAAATAAGGAAAACTTTGGATCAGAATATCTTGCCATATGTTGTTTGAGGACTTGAGTCATTTCAATCTTTTGGTCATACAAACCAAATGTGTTGCTAAGTACAATCATAGTAGGTTGTTTAATTGTCAGAGATCACTTTATTAATATATATATAGGCTGATCAATTATTCAGTTTACAGTAAAAATAAATATTAATACACCCTTGTCTTATTCTCAAGATAACTAAGTAACAGAAAAAAAGCTTTATTTCAAATCATTTGTAGT